CATTGTCCAGCATAGCTGATGTTTAAGAACTACACACTTCCTCTTCAAACAGGTGGACAATTTTCCATAAGCCGCTAACCCCTTAGGTGATCGTTTGCATGGTCACGCTGCCGGTACCACCTGGCCGCTACGTAACCTCTCATTAATGCGGGGATAGGCACTTATTGAGCCCTTCACAATAAGCGCTAGATCGGTAAAATAGGATCGAGCTTACGCCACCACAGTCACACACAGTGATACCGTCCTTAAGGTTGATTAAAAGAGGGGAATCGTTTTAAGATCTTGTGCGTTAGAATAGAGCCAGAAAAGAAGTCGAGCAGATTTTCTAGACGTGAATTGAGTAAATCCTGGAACTTGTGCTGTAGCTTTTTCGAAACCAAAAAATGAATTTTTCCCTAGTGTTCGCGGAAACGACCGGCAACGACAGCGGTTTTGGGTCGCGCAAGACTCCACTAATTACACCTCCAACTCAGGATTGGTGCTCGTGTTATTTCAGCGCAATCGCGATCTGCAAGGACACACGCTCTGTGCTGCGTTAGCCAGAAACCGTCGATAAGAGTGGCAAGACGCACCTAGAGCAATCACTTCAGCCGGTTCGGCCTGGTACTGCTCTGTTTCTTGACGATCAAGAACAGTGCAGTAGTAGGAGCCCTCGACTGCACTCTGAGCAACATCCTTGAGTTTAAGGTCGTACACTCCACTAGAGATGTCCCCGACCAGTTCAAAGTGGGCTGCGTCGAGAAGCTGGTCGTTGATGGAGATATACCTAGAAATAGAGGAGCATAAAAAGTTAGTCGAGGGCGAATACGAGAATAGAATTGCACTATTCGCATAGAAATGAAAAGGATGAGCTGAGGAGTGACCGGACCTGAGATTGCCTTTATTGTAGCGCTGCCACTGCACCTGATAGCGTGCTCGGTCGGCAAACTTGCTTCGCACGGAGCACTTCAGAGTCGGTCCCACCATGTGCTCTTTCACGTAGTATGGTCCGGCTCCTGGCGTGTTTGTGAACACTTCGTCGTTTCCGACAGCAACTGAAAGGCATCGTTTTTTGTCAGTGGCATTCTGACTTGGCCTTCTGTGGCTTTGCGAATCAATTCCGCTCAGCGATGGCCGAGGAGGACGTCCTCAGCAAACACGAGTGACCACCACCGCCAAACAGCGCCGTTGTTTTTCGTTTCGCGCATTTTCGCACGATCTCCTCGCCTCTGACGGCCATTTCAGCAAATCAAAGCGCGCTTAGGACACCTCTCTCGATGAGGGCCTGCTCACGCATTTCGAATGGGCAAACATAAAACAATCGGAGTCAAGACCTACGTGTAAGTCCCGCGATGGACACCAGCACCAGAGCCACATTTGGCCCCATCTTTAGTGAGGAAGCTGCTCTTCTAGGGTTTCCTTGAAAATATTATCGCAATCATATCGAACAGAAGAAATGTAAAAATTTGTCAGATATTGTGAATTACTGTGGAAAAGAGATAGACCATTTCTGAACACGTATTCTAGAGAGAATCATGTTTTTATCGACAATGATGGATAAGACGCGAAATCGAGTTGTTGGTGAGACGAAAACGAAAAAAAA